CTAAGTAGGTGCTTTAGACCACTGAGCCATCTCAACAGCCCTACTTAACATCTTTGAGAGTCTTTTCATTTTTAAAAAATATTGAAGTTTACCATTTGCCAGACATTTTACTGTCTAGTCCTTGTTTAAACCTTAAAATTTCTCTACAGCTCCAATACTCTTTGAAAATTAGGTTAGTGAACCAGGGTTTTTAAAGCTAATAGCTTTCTCCAGGCTGTATAGTAAAGATGATACAAAACAAGAACTCATTCTTTGGTACCAAATTTTAAACTCTTCCCTTCTAAGCCAGGAGTTCCCAAACTTCAGTGTGCAGCAGAGTTGCCCAGAGAGCACATATGGATGACCTTTGAATTTCCGATTTTGTGAGGCTACCTTAGGTTCCAAGAATTTGCATTTCTGTTGTGCTGCTGCTGGTTGTAGGGACTGTTTTGAGAGCTGTTCCTTAATACTACATTGCATGTCTTATTTTTTCTGAGGGATAAATAAGACTTCTGTTTTCACTTTCTCAATCCTGAGACAAATATCCAACACTCATGACTTAAGGGTAGGGTTTATTTTAACTCACATTTTAGAAATTTGAGTGCTTACGAGGTTGGTTGCATGGTAGAAGGAAAGCTGTCTGCATGACAGCCAGGAAGCAGAGGAAGTCAAGAGAGAAGCTGGGAAGGGACACAGCCACAGTGAACTGCCTTTTCCGATAGACCCCATTTCCTAACACCAAGTCAGCTACAGCTCCTCCATAATCTAGTCACCTTCTAAACACATAAGCCTTTGGGGGCTACTTTAGATCTAAACTGTAAGAACTTCATATGCCATATTGTGTTGAAAGTTATTAACATCGAGTAACTGCTTACAATATTCTTGACATTCTTTTTTATTTTCTCATTATCTTAGGAAGTAGTTGAATTGTAGGGAAAGGATGAGGGGATGTTTTCACCACTAAGAAGAAGGAAACTGAAGTAGGTGCTCAGCTGAGCTGGGTTCAAAGGCCAGGAGTCATCTCTAGAAAGTCATTTCATGCTGTGAGAAGCTTGGGAGGCAGGGGACACTTCCTTTCCTGTTGGTGTTTTGTGTCCTTAGAAGGCTTCTGCATGGTAGGCCAAAGATCATTTTCATGTCATTCTCCCAGTGTTGTGATGGATGGATGACATACTTTATTATTCTGATAAATGATGTGAATCTGAAAATGACCAATACTTCAGGTGTGCTGTGAGACCTTTGATATTCACTAATATGGATAAATGGAATTCCAGGAGCTTTTGTATGTAAGAACCAGCCAAGTCATGCCAGAATATTAAGGTGGAAGGTATGTTGATTGATGGTGGCTGCCCTACAGCAAGACATTTGCCAATCTATAATGTTAACTTACCAGGGTTGCTCCAGCAACGAAAGAAAATTCTAAAAGCAAAAATGGGTGAGGGAAAAATAAAGCTGTAATTATATCTGAAACCTATACTTTGCTTGCTTAGGAAACTCTTTACCACTTCTCTTAGTTTGAGAGTCTTAAAGAAATAAGTGTTAGCCAGGTATGGTTGTATGTGCCTATACTACCAGCATTTAGGAGGCTGAATTAGGAGGATTGCTGTGAGTTCCAGGCAAGCCTGGGCTGTGTAGTGAGTTCAAGGCTAGTATGTTTTTAAAGAAGTATGTTATAGAGAAAGTATAAGAAAATTTTGAAAGGTGATATAGGAATGCTTTGTGTTTTGCTCCATTAAAATTTGTTTTTTTTTATTTTTTATTTATTTTTTTTCTTTTCAAAGTTTTATTGATAAA